AGTGACCTTCTTCACGACATTTGGGATTCCAGATTCAGCTGTGCATGCAACTTCGAGGGTGGCGAGGCTGGCTGCAGCTACACCCTGCTCCCCGTAGGTGGCCAGACGACGTTGAATATTAGTACGAGATGTCGATGACTGCCCTAGAGCAGCTGGACGTGCTTGAGGAGACAAAGGCGCAGTTGACACGCGCTTTCGAGGAGGGACAGCGGTGGCGGTGACCGCGGATGGAGCCACTAGGGGTAAAACTGGTTTTGGGGCATGTGGAAAGGGTAATTGAAAGCCTGGAGGTGGTGCTGAGACCGAGTGTCTTCTTTTGCGTACGTAGGATGCCCCTGGGCGTGGTGATGGTGGTAAGACCTGGACTGTAGCCATGTGTGGTCTCTTTCCTGATGAAAATGGCAATCTAGATTTCTTTTCCTCAACAGATGAACGAGGTGAATACTATGTTGGTCGAGTTCAAGTTGGGCTGGGGTTGATGTAACCAGGTGGCGCGCAACAGAGGTCGGCTCTGGCTGGCTTATTTCGGTACGACTACTCGGCTTATCCCTGGAGATAGAGTCGTCAGCGAATTTGTGCAAGGGTTTCACGAAGAGACAAGTACGGTTCAAAGAAAAGAACATGCAAAGGGGAATGAAAATCGCTTGAGGACCAAATAGGCGATGTGGTCGGCTGATTTCTCCACAAAGGGTGAGAGGTGTGCGGATGTGGGGGGAAATGTCAAGAGGCGACTCAAAATGGCCTACAAAAATGCCTGCGGAGGCAAAGACGAAAGGAGAAAGAAAAATTCAAGAAAGAAAAAAAAGGAGGAGGTTAAGAAGTGAAAAAGTGCGAGCCCAGGCGCCGGTTGGGACTGGTATGATACGCGTCGTGGACCGTAGTGGAGACACGCGTCTGCCTTGAGGCTGGATGTCTGCCCCATAAACCGAAGAAAAAATAAAATCAAAATACTCACACGCACTGTTGTGTATCGTTGAAATACTCTCTGCTTCCTAAAACGAGTCGGATCTTTATATTGTTCCAGATGCCAGAGAGAAGGAACGCTGCTAGTTCGAGGATTGCTTATTGAGGTGGACCCCCTTGAAAGTGGCTGATCCGCTGAATTGGAAGAGAGAGAAACGCCACTATCGTGCAAGATTCGTTAGGTTATAGGCCAACGCAATCATGCAAGTCTTGCCTGACCGTTGCACCTGTTGGCAGGAGCCCCTGACAGCTGGATATTTGGGACCTTTGCTGATCTAGTGGCAAAGGATCTAAACGATATCCCTGCTTCAGAATTATAACGGCCAACATCAGAATTTCGGCTACGTGCACATTGATGTTATATCTATAGGGTTCAGTCCGCTAATCATAAACAAGGGGACGACTGAGTAGAATATAGATATCGATAGTCGATTGCACAGGGTCTCGTGATATTAGAAAAGGATACAGAAAGATATATCAGTGTAATGCTAACCACCGAAGGTTATATGTCGTCCCTATTGGTCCCAACAAAACGGATCACGCCTAATTAGCAAATCCCACCCCGTGGTTCCCTTTGTATCGGAAACCTCGGCTAACCAATGCGGCACACCGGCCCTTGAGCCCTGCATAATCTCGTCTAATCGACCTTCCTTGCCCATCTCCGCCCTCCTGTCGGCTGAACGGGGGCGTTCATGTGGACAAAAGACGGCTGCGCATTCACACTGGGCGCAAATGCGTCGGGTGAGTGCGTTGTGGTTAACCCAATTTTCTCCTTGGGCCATTGTTCCTTTGTGGTTGTGGACACAGGGACTGTCTGGCCCCAGTACAGCCATATTTGCAGCCCCAGGATCACATTCAGCACAAATGCCAGAGCAAACCCGGCAAAGACCAATGAATCACCCATCTCGGTGGCAGTTGTGAACAGACGAGCAGCACATCCAAACACCTGAGACGCGACAGCAAAGACAGACAATTGGCCAGTTGATTTGTTGCGATAATTTTCAGAAATTTGAGGAATCTTCGAGAACAGCGATATTGGTACAGTTCCCAATTGTAAAAGCTGCAAAGAGCTCATCGGAATGACAAGAAGAGCGTATGACGTGACAACAGCTATCGTCGCGGCCATTGCCACTGCCGGTCTGTTCGATCTCGCTCGTTTGGTGGTGAGATGGCTTTGCGAGGTCGGGAAGTAATAAATGATGAGCAGAGTAATAAAGATGTTCTGAACGGTAAGGAAAAGATTTTCTCCATATGTAGAAAAAGGATATCTGTTTCGATACGCATAGACAAGGGTGATGAGGTAGGCAAGCGTTTCCAGTGCGAAAGCGGGTAGAGATAGACCTCGGGCATGTCTTGCTCTCAATACTGTTCCAACGAAAAGGGATCAGATCTCAAAGGCAATGAACTCGTTCACTTGACAGCACACATACTCAGCATAAGCTGTGGCACCTTCATTATAGCGCCTCCCAGCACAATTGCAATTCCTAAGCCTTTAGAAATAGCCAGTTTGAGACAGACAGTATCCGTAACATGAAGATTCTCGATTAAGGAAACGTAGCATTTCTAACTACGTGTCAGCATGACCTCAGACGAATTCATACAGCAGCTTACCGTTCCAATGAGGCCAATGAGCGGATCTTTGATAAAGGAGGGAAGGTTGCGTGTAATAGCCGTCATAGTAGGGGGTCAAGTTTGCAGGAGACAATCAAAATTGACGGTTCGACCAACCGTTGACCACCGGTCCCATTCCACTTCACGACATAGTTCTTTTTGCTCTTTTTAGATCTATTTTACTCGATTTCCGCGCAGGTATACTCGCTCTAAGCATACTGCCAATGCCGCACTTGCATACCTCTAAACCGAGATTACGTTACCGTGAGGTCATTCTGAATCAGAGATACAACTGGCCATACAAGAATCTCATACTCATAACTCGCCCTTTAAGGGTCTCATTCTCAGCATGGCAAGGGTATGTGGATGTTCTGTTGTCAACTAAACGCATACCATAAAGCAGACCCATAGTAAGACAGAAACTGTTCGTCCATATGGGAATCTATACATGTTTCGGAAATTTCCTCATCACATCTTTCGTCTAATTTGCCTTTCAGCGCAAATACGCCCTGAGGGAAGGGCCTCATTCTTGGTACATCTTCCATAGCTCCCAAGAAAAAGGTTGTTAAGCTTTCCAATGAAGGAATCATCTACTAGATCCATCTCACTTGAATGTAGAGACAATTCGCTGTCCAAACCAGACATTTTGACCCAGGAGGACAGGAGCTCAGTAAGATTTGAGTTTGGGAAACTTTGAAAGTCGCCACACTCATGGCCGAATACGACATAACCCAGAAACTAATACCTTTCATCGACAGACATCTTGCATTCCCCATTCTGTCACATCTTTCAGAGATCTCTTTATTTCCTGAAGAAGATGTTCGCTTTGCCCAATATGAACTCGCGAGGGGAACCAACATGGTAGACTTCACGCTCGATCTGTTCCAACAATTGTATCCAGATGAAGATCCTCCCCCAGGTAAATCTCTCTCATTTATTTATAATGAATGCCCCAAGTTGAGATGATTATTTGAGAGTTCGCCAAGAAAAGAGACGATGCCGTACAAACAAATCAAAGACTACAATCAGAAGCACAAGTCGTACTAGATGTAATTGAACGAGAAGAAGTTGCACAAGCTCTTCGGCAGGACAAGATGCAAAATCTACACTATCTCCGGGAACATTATAATGTAGGTAGCATCGTTTATCATACTGACGATGGTCTCACCTGCGTGTTTACAGCTTACTCTTGAGCAAATTTCTGCCCTGTATACCTTTGGTCAATTCCAATATACCTACGGCAATTACTCCGGAGCAGCAGATTATCTTTACCATTTCCGGATCCTATCCACTGATGCGGATCTGAACTTATCAGCTCACTGGGGAAAACTAGCTTGTGACATTCTCTCAGGAAAATGGGATACTGCACTAGAGGAGCTGAATTCCCTCCGAGAGACCATCGATTCTCGCGTATCAACAGCCTCAACTCCACTACCTACATCA